AATTCTGTTTGACCAGATGTCCCGACAGGGAACACACCCTGGTAAAGTTGCGGGGCGCGCCCTGGGAGAGGAGCTTCATCGCCGGGCGGCTGCTCTGCGCTTGGCCCAGCGCACGCACGTCGATGCCAGGTGAAGCTACTGGGGAGCTATATCAATGCGGCGCCCGTTGCCGACGGCCCTCGCATCCGCCTCGAAGCCGCGGCAAATGCCAGAGTGAAACAGGCGATGAAAGGGCTTTCGCGAGGTGGGCGCCATCCTGACGGCATGCAATCGAGAGGTCGGGCGGCCTGGTCACTTGTGGCCAGCATGTGCGCCGCTGGCCTGGATATCCAAGAGCCGAGCGACCAGGTGAGAATCCTGTGCGCCAGCCCCGGTTTTGCCGCCATTTTATCCGAAGGGCGATCCTGGATCTCACAGTGGGCGCTCTGCGCCCTGGTGGACCCGGGCCGCGCCGTTGAAACTGGGGCCATCGCTCAAGGAGAGGCGCCTGCAGGGTTGAGGAGGCATGCGCGGCAAGACACCGGGCCCAATGCCGAAGCCGAGGTGCCACATGCCCATGCGCAATCTTTCCGGGGAGGTAGACCAGACAGCAGAGCGCGGCGAACCATTGCCCAAACTCGAATGGACGTGGCCCGAGTTCGCCACAATGTGCGACGACTGGGGCGCCCGCCTTTCATGGATTAAGCTGCCGGCTGGGCTTCTCACCCACGCGGGGCTTTTGCCCACGTGCTCCGGGCGGCGCAGCGGAGAGCATTCCTTCGACGTATTGCAGACACCAGGCACGAGCTTGGCGCCGTCGCCGCTGTCAGGCAGGGCCATGACTATTTTGCCACCGCGTTGCTCCTCAGAACCAAGTGAAGAGCCCAAGGTACCGCCTGGAAATTCGAGTTCATTTGCAAGAACAACTGCGGCGGTGGCCACACCTAGCAAGGGACAGACAAGGCTAGCATTTTGGCCTGCCCGCCTCCCCCGCGCAGATGGTGCGACCCAGGAGAAGGAACCGCAGAGCACACTGCGCGGAGAAGGCCTTGCCGGGAGACCGAGAGGACCGCCCTCAAAACCATGATCACCGAGCAACAATGGCAAGGTCTCCCACCGCGTACCAGGCCTGGCGGCGCGTTGGCCGAAGACGAGCATCCGCAGCCCATCCCGCGATAAACCGCAAGGGGACACGGAAGGGGACCCGTATCAAGAGTATACTGACGGCCAAGGAGCCCGATGGGTTCATGCTGCTACGGACGGCGCCTGCTCGCACCAAGCCCATCCCTTCCTGGCCAGAGCGCGTGCTGGTGTTTGATGTGGCCCAGGCCACGGGATCAAATATTCTGCCCGCGTGCACCGTTTCGCGCAGTCTCTTTGCAGCGGGCCGAAACGCCTGCCATGCTTCACTTTGCTGCCGCAGCAGAACGACTGGTGTGTTCGTTCGTCGACCACCAGGCGGTCGTCGACGAATTCGGGGGCCTCATGGGCAAATCGCCCCAGCATCCAGGGCCCAAAACCGACCTCTGGCGGAAAATTCACCGTGCGTTTCTGGGAAAAACCAGATTGTTCAAAGTCTAGCATGCGGAAAGTCATATGGGAGAGCAAGGCATCAACGAAGGGCGCGTCACTCTTATCGCAAAGGCCTTCAACCGTCACGCTGATGAGCTCGCCGCCGCGGGGGCACGGCTCCATAGTGTCCCGCATGGCTTGGTTGACGCTGCCAAATGGCGACGCAAGTTGCTGCTGTCTTCCATATCGCGGCCGTCGCCATATACGACCGGCGACATCAGATCATCGGCCTGTTCCACAGGGGAACCAGGCATTCCAGGTCCGAGCTCATGACACCGACCCTGCTCACCATCGGCTTCGCGGGGGCAGGGCACAGGTTCAAAAGGGGACCACCCCCGCCGGGCGGCCCACCAGGACCGCACCACCTCGACGAACTCGCGCAAACGACCTCCCTCCTCAGAGACACTTCCTAGGCAAAGACAACACAGTCGAGGATTACCCCGACGCGTCTCTTTCTCTCTCTCTCTCTCTCTCCCTCTCTCTCTCTCTCTCTCTCTCTCTTTTTTGTTTTTTTCTCTCTCTCTCTCTCTCAATCTCTCTCTTGGCCAGTCGACGACCGCCCAGGAGCGTCAGAGCCCACGTCAATCTGTCCCCCGCTCGGCCCACCAGGGTTCCGACGGGGTTGGCCGAGAGGATTGGGGTGACGGCCACCGCGCCAGCGGTGCCTCCCAGCACATGGACCGCAGGCAAGCCCTCACGCAGCATCTCACGGTAGCGAGCAGTCAGCACCAAGGCGGCCGCGAAACCACTCCCATCGCAAATCCCCATGTGCCCCATCAGCGATTGGCGGTGCGCACAAGGGGGTGGAGGGAGGGGGGCGGGCTTCTTGGAAGCAGGGGTGCTTCTAAGAAGCCCTCCCCCATCCCCCCACGCGCCTCCCGCCTTATGATGTAGGCCTGCGGGGCGCTTGTAGTTTCGGGGCCCGGACAGACCTGCCGTCCGAGGTGTTTGTTTCCTTACCCTCTCTCTCTCTTTCTCTTTCTCGCCCCCTTGCGATCTTAATGTGCACAGTTGTTTCGCTTCCCTTCCTCTTTTTCTGTCTCTCCTTCTTGGTGTTCTCTCTCTCTCTCTCTTGTATTGGCATGTGTGTTGGCATGTGTGTTGGCAGGTGTGGGCCTCTCCTCCTCTACCACGTCGCCGCCCTGTCGTTGCCCACTGAAGGAGGCAGCACTACAGCACGACAGGTCTTATCATCGAGCCACGCGGGACTCAACAGCAGTGGATTTATTGAAGCGCAGCTTTTGGACGCATTCCACGGGAAGGGGGGGGTCAACGAGTGGGATGGGAAGGGGGAGGGGGGCGGGGGAGGGGAGAGGCGGGAAGAAGTGGAAAGAGACAGAGTAGGGGGAGGAAGAGATGCAGATGGAGAGGGATGGGCGAGCAGATCCCAGCTCGGACAGACGGGTCCGCGACTGGAACATGCCATGTGAAGACAATAACGACTAACACGGCGACGGCGGTGATAAAGACGAAGACGATTACGACCACGGCGAGGATGACGGCGAGGACGGTAAAAACAAATACGATTACGTAGCACCCCGCAATTGCGGATAAGAGTGAGGGGGCGGGCGCGGGCGACGCGGGCGTCGTCGAGCCGGCGGACCTCGTAGCCCCCACCTTCCCTGTCGATGGCGCTGTCCTCCTCCTCCTCCTCCTCCTCTTCCTCGTCCTCGTCCTCATCGTCATCGTCATCCTCCTCCTCCACCTCGTCCTCCTCCTCCTCTTCTTCCTTGTCCTCCCTCCCCCCCCTCGTCCTTTCATTATCGTCCTCCCATGGTCGTCCTCCCCCTCATCGGCCTCCATCATCGTCCTCCCATTGTCGTCCATCATCAGCATCATCATCATCATCATCATCATCATCATCATCATCATCATCATCATCATCATCATCATCATCATCATCATCATCCCCCTCCTCCCCCTCCTCGTCCTCCTCCTCCCCCTCCTCCCCCTCCTCGTCCTCCTGCTCCTCCTCTTTTTCTTTCTCCACATTATCCTTACATCCTCTCTTCTTCCGCGTTCTCCTCGTCCCCTGTTTACTCTTCCTGCCTCCCCCTCCTTTCCCAAGATAACTGCAACGCAATCATTTTTGTCCACTTTATGCTCCCCGCCTTCTTTGATTAAGGCAACTCGCCAGGGCAGAGTTGCTGGACGGGCTGGTGTGGATGCGCGGGGCTTGAAGAGGTCCTTGCGGGCTCAGGCGGCATGCAAAAATCCGCCGCCGCGCTTGTGCGGCATTGGTTTGTTCAGTGAGCGTGGTTTAGGTCGCGGGTGGGTCGCGGGCTCTCCACCTCCACCTGGAAGGAATACAAAAGCAGCCCGCCGCAGGCGCCAACAAATATTGGTTTGTACACTGAACGTGGTTTGGGTCGCGGGTGGGCCGCGGGCTCTCCACTTGAAAAGAATGCAAAAGATGCCCGCCGCAGGCGCCGAAAAATGTGGTTTGTACCCTGAACGTGGTTGGGGTCGCGGGAGGGTCGCGAGTTGGTCACGGGGTGGGTCGCGGGCTCTCAACCTGGATGGGATGCAAAAAAAGCCCGCCGCAGGCGCCGAACATGGTGGTTTGTACCTTGAACGTGGGGTCGCGGGAAGGTCGCGGGTGGGTCGCGGGGTAGGCCGCGGGTGGGTCGCGGGTGGGTCGCGGGGTGGGTCGCGGGTGGGTCGGGGTGGGTCGCGGGGGGTGGGTCGCGGGGTGGGTCGCGGGGTGGTCGCGGGGTGGGTCGCGTCGCGGGTGGGTCGCGGGGGGGTCGTCGGGTGGGTCGCGGGGTGGGTCGCGGGGTGGGTCGCGGGTGGGTCGCGGGGCGGGTTGCGGGTGGGACGACGACAACAACAACAACAGCAAACAATAACACGAACAACAACAACAACAACAACAACAACAACAACAACAACAACAACAACAAACAACAACAACAACAACAACAACAACAACAACAACAACAACAACAACAACAACAATGATAATCCGCACCGCGGAATTCCACTTCAGCCACGCACCCAGGGACACTGAATGACCGTTCGGCCCCCTCATTCTGACGATTACGGCGATTGCAACGAGGATGACGAGGACGAGGAGGACGAAGACAGCAGTAGGGGGCGACTCTCTGGGAATAGCACCAGTGCGCACGTTGCGCACACATCTCCCGCGGCCCTCCCCTCCGCCCTCCCCCCCGTGGTTTGATCCGCAATTCCTGGTCGCCGTCGAAGCCGCCGCCGTCGTTGTCGCTTGTCGTCCTCGTCATCGTCCTCCCCCTCCTTAGCCCCCAACGCGCCCAGCACGAGGGCCTTGGGGTCGGCCCGCCTCCTTTCCGAAGCGGGGGAGGCGTTCGAGTCGGCCTCCGAGGCGGGAGGCAACCGCGCTTCGGATCTCGAGGCGGCGGACTAGCTGGCTTACAACTGGCTCGCTGTCTCATCTTCTATTACCTTACCGTTCCCCCCCCCGAGAAGAGGCGAAGGTGAAGGCGCTGACCGACGCGACTGTCCCACTTGAGGGCAACCAGGCGCCAGCGCGCGGGGGGCAGGGCGGTGCCTCGGCGGACCACGCGCAGTGGTTTATCTAGGTGTCGTTGCTTGTCCTTCCATCTGCTCTCCATCGTTGTATTCCTCCTCCGCGAGCTGGAGGCCCAATCTTGGTTAAACCCACCACATCGGTGTTGCAAGCTAGGCCCTTAACCCCTCTGAACAGGGCCACATCGGGATCGTCGGGACCATCGTCAGTGCGCAAACCCAGCGGCAGCAAAAAACCATCCTGACAACTCGGGGCTGTCATCTTACAAAAGGTCCATTTGTATATATATATATATATAATATATATACATATAGACATATATACACACACACACACACACACTAGAACCATCGCGCGCGTTTCGCGCGCGCTCAAGTTCTAGCCAGGCTTGATAGGCTAACTCATGGGTAATCTCATGTTGGTCGCTTCTTGCGTCCAGGGACCCCCTTGGAGGCCCTGCGCAAGCCTCGGAATCGTATAGAAGGGGAAGTGCGGAACTGCAGAAATCGTTCATTCCCTTTAGGTATTCAACGATTGGGGGCCCTCAAAGGCTTCCTGGGTTCTTTTTGGGGAGGTGATGGGGGTCTAAATTGTGGTCTGTTGTGCAAGAGTAGACCGGGGGCCAAATTTGAGCAAGAATAAGGAATTGTGGGATTTCCATGTTTTTCACGGCGCTGTCCGGCGCTGTCTTCTGTTTGTGCCTCGCGGGTCTTGTTAGCTGGGCCCCTCAGGGGTGTGGGATCTTCCGGACCCCCTGGGGGTTCTGGAGGCCTCCTGGAGGCCTGGAGAGCCGTCGGAAGGGTGTCTCGGGCTGCGCGGGAGCGTGTTGGGCCGTTCTTTACGTTCTGGGGGCTTGTTCGGGTCGTCTTGGGCCGTCCTTGGTCGTCTTGGGGGCCCCCTGGGAAGCCGAGAGGCGCGGTACCGGCCAGATGTCAGGGGATGTGTGGGATGTCCGAGTAGGAGTCCCACTGTGAAAAAACAAGAATTCTGGGAATTCAATTTTTTTTGTCAAAATCCTCGATCTTCGAGGGTTAGAAGCGGGAAAACGTGAGAGGGCGAAAAACATTAGAAAACTATTGGAAATCAATGATTTGACCCTCTTTGGGCTCTCTCGGGACGGCTCTCGCAGCTCTTTTGGGTTGTTCTTGGAGCCATGTCGGGGTCTTTTTGGGGCCTCTCAGGGGTCGGGGGTGTGTTGGGGGCCTCTGGGGGGTCCCGGAGGCCGGAGGTCTCTCGGAGGTCTTTGGACGCCTCCTGCTCCCGCTCTTCGGCCTGCATCTTGGGCCTGTTCTGGGGTGGTCTGGGGCTGTTCTGGGCGCCTCTTCGGCAGTCTTGGAGCCTTCTTGGCCCGTCTCGAGGCCGTCCTGAGGGTCTCTTGGGTGGTCTTGGGGCGGTCTTGGGCGGCTCTTCGGCGCTCTTGGACCATTGGAAACTCGAAAGCGCGAGAAGCCAAACACATTGAAAGAACGAATGAAAATCTACGATTTTGGCCTCTTCGGGCCGTCCCGGGATGCCTCTCGGACATCTCTTCGGATCTCTTGGAGGCCACTTGGGAGCCTCGAGAGCCGTCGGAAAGGCTGACTTGGGCTGCTTGGGAGCGTCTTGGACCATCCTTTCGCATTCTGGGGGCTCCTGGGAGGCGTCTTGGGCCCTCCTGGGGCGCTGTGGAGGTTCCCCCGAAAGGCCGGGGTTGCGGTGCCGGGAGCGTCCCCGAGATGCTCCGGGGAGATGTGGGACCCGGGGCCGGGGGGGGCGGTGTTTACGTGTATTATATATGAATATCTGTGTATATATATATATACATATACATAAATGTGTATATGTATATGTATATGTCTATATCGAATCATATCGGGAGTGATGGAAGAGGCAGGGGGGGCAACGGAGGCAGCAAAGCAAGCAGCAGTGTGCAACGAAGTTGGTTCGAAGTTTGCCTGCAATTTCAGCTTGTGCCCGTGCTGCTGCACGGTCTTCTAGGTGGTGCTAGATTTGCCTAAGGGCAAGGTCACGCGGTCGGTGGTGTCCTCCATGGGAGTCTCAGCCTGGACCTCTTTTCTCCAAAGCAGGTCACCGATAGCAAGGCGGAGGGCAGGGAAAGTGGCAACACAATCAGGCGGGAATCTTTCTCCATCCCACGCAATGCGAGCCCTTCGACGGGTCTCGCCGCTCCCGCCAACGGCTCTAAACTCGGTACGACCAGAGCCAACGCCACAGACGTCCCTGTCGTGGCCCGGCCCCAGTGCCTCGAACTTGATGTCAGATGCATGCCAGGCTAGGTACCCATTGGGATTCACGACCGACCGCGCATATGATCATATGGGTACCCTGCGGAGTTGGTGTATCCAGACATGGAGCGGAGCAGGCTCGGACACGTGCCCTGGGATCGGCGTTTCACCCCGAGCCGCTCGGCATTGACGTGCCATCTCGGCACCCGCACCCGCCTTCCAACAGCAGTCGGACGGGGCTGCGACGAGGATCAGTTTCTTTCGCTGTTCTCTGGCTCCCGGGGCCCTCCCGTCAAGGGAAGGATAACCACCCAGATCCGATAGTTGGCGTTTACTAAACGGCCCTGGGCGTTTCGTAAACTGCCCTGGCCTGCTCGATTCCTTCTTCGGGTGCGTCTGCTAAACGGCCTCGCTTGCCGGGGTGGTTCTTCTGGGGAGGGTTTTTTCCCAACCATCTTGTGGTGTTGGGTCCTCGTTTTGAAGAGACGGTGCCCCGCGTTCCTCTCCTCTCCTCTCCTCTCCTCTCTTCTCGTCTCCTCTCCTCTCCTCCTCTCCTCCCCTCCTCTCCTCCTCTCCTCTTCACCCACCCAGTACACCGTTTCGTGGCTCCATAGGGAGCTCCACCGAAGGCCCCAGTGCCCGCGCCCGCATGCGTCACCCACACCCATTTCGGCACACCCCTCACACGCTTCGTGGCTCCATAGGGAGCTCCACCGAAGGCCCCAGTGCCCGCGCCCGCATGCGTCACCCACACCCATTTCGGCACACCCCTCACACGTTTCGTGGCTCCATAGGGAGCTCCACCGAAGGCCCCAGTGCCCGCGCCCGCATGCGTCACCCACACCCATTTCGGCACACCCCTCACACGTTTCGTGGCTCCATAGGGAGCTCCACCGAAGGCCCCAGTGGCGGCGCTCACATGCGCATGCGTCCCGCACACCCATTTCGGCACATCCCTGACAGGTTTCGTGGCCCCATCATCCACCGGAGGCCCCAGTGGCGGCGCCCACATGCGTCACCCACACCCACCCAATTCGGCACACCCCTCACACGTTTCGTGGCCCCATAGGGAGCTCCACCGAAGGCCCCAGCGGCCGCGCTCACATGCGTCCCCGCCACCCATCCCGGCACGCCCCTCACAACAACAGGTTTCGTGGCCCCATGGGGAGCTCCACCGAAGGCCCCAGTGCTGCCGCCCGCATGCGTCACCACCCGCACCCAATTCGGCACACCCCTCACACGTTTCGTGGCCCCATAGAGAGCTGCACCGAAGGCCCCAGTGGCGGCGCTCACATGCGTCCCCGCCACACATCCCAGTACACCCCTCACGCGCTTCGTGGCCCCATAGGGAGCTCCACCGAAGGCCCCAGTAGCGGCGCTTACATGCGTCTCCGCCACCCATCCCGGCCCCCCCCCCCCGCAGCAGCATCATGTTTCGGGGACCCATAGGGAGCTCCACTGGAGGCCTCAGTGGCGGCCCGCACATGCGTTTCCGCCACCCATGTCGGCACGCCCCGCGCGTGCTTCATGTCCCCATAGGGAGCTTCGCCGAAAGCCCCAGTGGCACCCATCTCGGCACACCCCTCACACGTTCCGTAATCCTATGGGGAGTTCCATTGAAGATGAAACCCGCAGCTGCGGTACTGACAACTGCATATGGTTGGGTTCTTCGCCAGGCTAATTTTGCCCTCCATCCCGGGGCCCCGGGACCGCGAAGCTGGTCCCGGGAAGATCGGGAACCCCAAAACCGGGTGGTGAGATACCAGGTGGCGACCTGGAATCCCCAAAAAGGTCACCGCTGGGTTTCGGGACGCGGGGTCACCACCGGGTTTTGTGACTCCTGGACCCACCAGTGTCCGGGACATCCTCGGAAAACCGCACGAGTCCCCAAACCAGGTGGTGACACCAAATCGCCCGAGACTCACCGCCAGGTGTTGTCACCACCACGTTTGAGGACTACCAAGAAGAGCCGCGGGGCCCAGGAAACCCGCTTCCCTCGGGGCCCCTCCTTCCTGGATGGAGGGAGGGGCACCGCGGAAGCGCGGGCACGACGCGGCACGACTGCTGCAAGGCCGCCGGGTTTTTGTTTTAAACTGGGCCGCGTCCTTTTACATGATATTTTTTGAGGAACGCTGAGAAATAGTGTAAAAACATTGACCCCAAATGCAGACAAATGCTCAAGACATCGTCTCCATATCATTTGTTTTGTCAATTTCTGAATATTCCTCCTGAGGAGGGACAGCCCCGACTTACGCCGAGGTTGTCGACTACGCGTGAGTGCCCCCTCGCCAGAATGACCAGTGGTGCGGGCCCATTGGGGTCCCCCGACCGCCGAACGCGGCGCGATAGCAGCGGCCTGCGCGCTTGGGTTTGGCCCCCTCGCACCCCCGAAAAGCCGCGCACCAAAGGTCACTCTTGCCTGGGGTCACTCTTTCGTGCAGCCGAGGTTGGTGGAGGGGAGGGGAGCGCGGGGTCATCTTTCGGGCGGAAGGCCGCGGCGCCCGAGACGTCCTCCAGATCCGCCAGATCTCAGAGCTTTTCGATGTGTCCTCGCCCGATGTTATCCTCGTCCTGGTTTCGCCCTCCACTGTCAGGACGGAGAAATAAACATACACAAATAAACGTTTATAGAGGAACCTATGGGAAGTAGAGGGGAAGGCGAACATCCAGAACATGCAGAAGCTATGGGGGATCCTGGGATTTGTGTCTATTCGTTTGTGCGTCCCTGGGCCTCTTCACACAGGCCGAGGAGCTGAGCATCGCCAGGCTCAAGGAGCTCACCGAGAAGGCGATGGAGGCCACGGACCGACGCCGTGCGCCCCTCCTCGGCCTCGGCCTCTTAGCACTCGGCATCCGTCCGTCCGCCCTTCGTCGGTCTCCCCTCCTCGCTCCTCCCGCTCCCCCATCCTTCCTTCCGCTCTAGGCCCGCACCTCCCCTCCTCCTCATCCCTCCTGCCTCCCCGTCCTCATGCCCATTGCCTCCAGTCGGTCTTGCAGAATTTCAGGGCCCGCTACGGCGCGATTTGGACGATGCGTGAGTGCAGCAATCGCTGAACAGCCAGACATCATGGCGCCACGCGCCGCCCTGCGTTGCGAGCGCTTGCTCTACGTCCGCCCGGGCCTGGGGCGCCTTCAACGCCCTTGGTGTCGGTTTACTTTTCGCGCGCGCCTTGAGCAGCCAAGGCTTCTGCATGTCCACGTGCGCGAACGTGACCTCCCCGAGGGGCCCTGCCTGGAACACCTTGACATCCTCTTTGGAGATTGGGGTGGTCTGCGTAAGCCACCCCCCACGAATGCACAATACCTTCTCCACGCACATAGGGCTACGTTCGATCGAGGAAGGCATGCCCGCGACCGCGGACACCCGCCGCTGCTGCGGTTGACTGGGCCGCAACTACGGGCAAGCAGGGGCGCGCGGGCAGCGGGGTCGCGCGCGGTGGAGGAGCTTTTGCAGCCAGACGGCGAGACGAATGAATCCCCCAGGGAGCCTCCTGATCCATCATCGAGCCCCCCATGCGCGCCTGCGCCGCGCTTCAAAGCAGTGCCCCGGCACTGCTCTGAACCACCTCGCGAGAGGGGGCCCTCGGGCGGCCTTGGGGTCAGAGGATCTGCTGAGGAGGCCCCGTGCAGGCGGGGCGGGAATCGGTAAGGGGGGGGAGAATGAAGCCCCCAGGGTGGCCCGAGCAGGGCGCGGAGGAGGTCCACGGCGTAGGGCAGACAGCTGTGAGGGAGGTAGCGTCTTCGTACAAGTTTCGGTAGATTTTCAAGGCCGCACTGTGCTGCTCATAATTGCCAGACCAGTCCGCCCTGAAGATTTTCGAAGAAGTCCAACTTGAGAATCGGGGGCGCTGGTGCATCCGCAACTGGCGGCATCTCCTGGCTCTGTGGGGGCAGCCTTTCCTCTGGCAGGCGCAGCTGCGCCTTCCCCTCCGCCTCCCCGGGGAGGTGGGGGGACGGCATCCCTTGCCCGCCGCTGCTGCGGGCGCGGGCTCCGCGGCCAGAGCTACCTTCCCGTGCACTCGAGCAGCCGCCTTCCCATGCGCTCGAGCGGCCGCCTTCGGAGTCCCACCAGCGGCCCCCTTCCCCTCCCTCTCCAGCAGTCCTGTCCTCCACCGTCGGCGTGGCCCGGCCATCCGCTGCCGTCGCTTCCGCCGCCGTCCTCCCATCAGCGATGGTTGCCTTGCCGACCTCCGCCGCCGCGCTCCCATCCGCGACTGCGGTCACCTCCGCCGCCGCCCCCCGTCCTTCGCCTTGCCATCCGCCACTGTTGTTACCTCCGCCACCGCATCCGCCACTGCGGTCAACTCCGCCGCCGCATCCGCCACTGCGGTCGCCCCAACCTCCACCAGCTCCCCAATCGCCGCCCCTGCTCCTTGGAGACACCGCAACTGCGGCCCGTGTCTCCTCGGCCTCCTTGTCACCCCACCATGCGCACATCTCTGCCCCGACTGGCGGCTGCGGCGGCAGCAGGCGCGAACCCGTCCAATCGTCGTCGAGCCTACCGTCGGTGCGGGCTTGGGCCGAACGTGGATAGAGGAGGAGGAGGAGGAGGAGGAGGAGGAAAGTGAGGAGGATGAAGGCCGCAGGCCAGCCCTAAATATGGCGCGTTCGTGGGGAGGGGTCGAGAGCTCACTTTTCCAGGGCGCCCCCCCTCCCCGTGACCGCTTTCGCGCGGCGGCGGGGAGCGCCCCAGGGCCCAGGGAGGTGGTCAGAACGCGCCCCGCCAGAGCGCCCGCCCCGCGGCCGCTTTCCCGCGGCGGGGAAAGGGCGTCCCAGAGCCCAGGGAGGTGGTCAGAGCGCGCTCCTTTGGGCCGCCCCCCCCCCCGTGACCGCTGTTCGCGGCGGGGGGGGGCGCCCCAGAGATTCGGGGAGAGGCGAGTAGGAGAAAGGGGAAGGAGCACGGAGCTCGCGACTTTAACGTGTGTGTGTGTGTGTGTATGTCTACACACGTACATACACATATACCTTTACGTCCACACGCATATGCATACGCATAACCGTCAGATCCTGCACAGTTACACAAACATGTACATACGCATACACATAAACATAGACATAGGCATGTACCCATACGTTTGTATATACACGTACTCTACACATACATGCACCTAGGCATATGCATGCATATACGTATACATGTGTTTACACATCTACACATACATATGCATCTGCATGTGCACACATATATATGTGTGTGTGTGCGCCGACTTGTACATATGCATATCTATGTACATCGAGATCTGTATGTATGCATACACATGTGCCTATGCCCATGAACATGCATAAGCATCTACGCATGTAGATATATACGGAGTGTATATCTACTGTTTGAAGAAGAAGGGGTTCCGACGTCTTCGCCGAGACGGGGGAAGGGAGGAAAGAGAGGGGGCGCAGATCACCAGGAAAACATGAGGCAAGAGAGGGCACATGATGGGGAGGATGAGGACGAATAGGAGGAGGAGAAGGAGGAGGAGGAGGAGGAGATGGATGCTTTCCTGATGTAAGAGAGCGGTATGAGAAGGAAGGCGCGTCTATGATGACGTCGAACGAGCATGCCGAATGCGATCCTGCTGTTGCCTTGTCCCATTCTGGCCAAAAGTCCGCATCATTCAAAGCCCCCGGCACTGCTTTGAGCGACCAAAGCAGCGTTTTCAGAGCTGGATTGCACCCCCAGCCCTCGGGCTGCACCTTGGCTGTCCAGAATATCCGTAAACCATGATCCACCATCCGTCTTCCTTGCAGTATTCATTGGGGAGATTATGATCCGCTTGTCGGGACTCGTTGCCGACCTCCTTCCCAGTTTCGGCTGCGGTCCGAAGGCTTTGGCGCCCCGGGAAGGACTGATCCCTTCCACTTCCATTCTTGATCCTCCCCTCATCGCCTCGTTCCTTCCTCCTCCCCTCCATCCCTCCCGTTCTCCCTCCCCTCCCGATCCTCTCCCTTCCTCTCCCCCTTGCCCCCGCGCCTACCCCTGAGCTTGACGTCCTGAGGTTTGAGCCCTCTGTCGACTCATGCAGCGACCCAGGGATCACGTTTTTAGGCGCTCTGCTAAGGGTGTTTCGTTGCTCTGCTAAGGGCGTTTTGTTCGCCACTTCGGGCCCAGGGACCCTCTCGCATCGGAACGCGCAGAGGAATCCAGCTCCAAGGTGGAGTCGAGAATTCTGCGACCGTACCTCTTTGCCGCCCCGCCCTCTCCTCTCACGATTTCAGACGCTGGCGGGGTGGAGGACCGCAAGGTCAAGAGGAGGCTGACGGGTGTGGGGGAAGGGGGGGAAGAGGGGGGGGGGAGTGAATGCGGGAGGGCGTGGGACGGGGGGTGGGGCTGCGGGCGAGGCGAGGGGGCAGAGGAACATGTCAGCGCGTGCCCGGGCAACCGGGCCTCGCGCAGCGCGAATCTCAACGGCACCGTAACGGGTGCTTACTAACGGGTACTTTGAATGTTTGCCGAAAGTTGCCACTTTAGGGCCTTTTTCTTGCATTGCAGCTTTGCCCACATCGGGAAGGGTTGGGTTCGCTGGGTCACTGGCCAAAGTACCCGTTAGTGGAGTCCCCGTTTGAGGGGCGCTGAGAATCGTGAAATTAGATCGGCGACCTAGCCAGACCTCCCCGCGTAGTGAAAGTAGCCAGACTCCCCCGTGCCGAGGAAAAACACAAAGAGTCAGATACAATCATTAAAGCAGCGGGAGGTTTGGAAAGTTTTGGGCCTCCAGGGGCATCGGAGGTCCGCGTCGCGAAAAAAACACGACGTCAGGAATCTTGGCAAAGGTGCCCGCTTCATTGGGAGGCTTCTCGGCGAGGCGGAGCCGATGATGGGCGGAGCCTCTCGGGCCGGCCCCCTCCCCTGCTTGTTAATTGAGGGCTCAACAGGCGGGGACATCCAGAAAAAGGAAAGAGCGTGTTCTACCGCTGCTGGCGGAAAACCTGGGGGGGTCACTACCGGTTCGAACCCCTCACTACCGGTTCGAACCCCTCCCCCCCCCAGTTCATCATGAAAAGGGGGGGGGTCACTACCGGTTCGAACCACCCCCCCCTCCCCCTCGAAAACCGGGGGGGGTCACTACCGGTTCGAACCCCCCCCCCCTCCCCCCGAAAACCGAGTGGGGGTGCGGACACTGGTGGGGAGTGGGTGGTGACGGACACAGTGGTGGGGACGGTGTTGGTGGGGACAGTGGTGAGGGGACAGCGGGACAGTGGTGGGGACAGTGGGACAGTGGTGGGGACGGTAGTGGTGGGGACGGTAGTGGTGGGGACAGTGGTGGCAATTGTGGGAACAGGGGGGACAGTGGACAGTGGTGGGGACGGTGGTGGTGGGGACTGTGGTGTGGGGACAGTGGGAATGAGGTGGAAACAGTGGGACAGTGGAGGGTACAATGGTGGTGGGGACAGTGGTGAAGGCGATGGCGAGGACGGCGGTGGGACAATGGGACAGAGGTACAGTGGGGACAGTGGTGGGGACAGTGGGGACAGTGGTGGGAACAGTGGGACAGCTCAGTGGGACAGCGGAGGAGTCAGTGGGACAGTGGGGACAGTGGGGAATAGTCGGGCAGTGGTTGGGGCCGTGGAGACAGTGGGGAGAGTGGAACCGTGGTGGGAACAGTGGTGGGGACAGTGGGGACAGTGCGACAGTGGTGGGGGCACTGGTGGGGACAGTAGGGACGGTGGTGGAACCAGTGGGGACAGTGGTGGTGAGGACAGTGGTGCTGGGAACAACAGTGGGGGATGTGATGCGGACGGTGGTAGGGACCGGGAGTCGTTTGCTGGCGGTGCGTGGGGAGGGGGGTCGATCGAACCGGTTGTGACCCCCCTCCGGTGGTTTTCGAGGGGGGGGGGGGTTCGAACCGGTAGTGAGCCCCCCCGGTTTTCCGGATCCGGAGGGGGGGGGGTTCGAACCGGTAGTGACCGCCTCCGGTTTTCGGGGGGAGGGGGGGGGGGGGGGGGGGGGTTAGGGGAGGGGGGGGTTTGCCGGGGGAGGGGGGGGGGGTCCAGCAGGGGGGGGGGGGGGATTTTCGGAGAGGGGGGGAGGGGGGGCGACCCCCGGGTTCTGGAGGAAAAGGTGGGCAATTTTCCGCAGCAAAGCGGCGGTGCATCACGCTCTCCCAGAAAAAGGATCCCAGGCGAGGGGACGACTGGGATTGGCGGCGCGCACAGGGGGGTAGGGGGAGGGGGGGAGGGGGAAGGCTTCTTAGAAGGATGCTGCTTCGTAGAAGGCTCCGGCCCTACATCTACAGACAATGCCCGTGCCTTCTAAGGAGCAGGGGTGCTTCTAAGAAGCCTTCTCCCTCCCCTACCCCCGTCTGCGGGCCGCCAATGGGAGGCACAGTTTTTGCATTGGGCAAACGTTGACTGGCGTGAGCCATCGCACTCTGATGGCCCCGACAAAAAAGAAATCGGGATGCAGCGCTCGATCAACTCCAGAGATACGCAACCAGCGCGTGCACGACAGCAAACCAAATGGCGAAGAGCATTGGACAGGAAGAGAAACCCGCTGGGGCACAGGAGTGCACACAGGCAAGGATGCCCACGAACCTCCCACTCACCAAATGGGAGGTCCCGCCTTTCCCCCCCTCTTCCCGGCGCGCGTACTGGCCAGGGTCGCCTCCGACCCCTCGCCCCGAGAGCCTCCGAAAACCTTCGAATACTTCCTAGGGCCATTGAGGAGCTCCTAGAGCCATCGGAATCCTCGACGACGACAACGACGACGTCGACGACAACGACGACGGAGACGGAGACGGAGACGGAGACGGAGACGGAGACGGAGACGGAGATGAAGACGACGACGGCGGCAGCAGCAGCCGCGGCGGCCGCGGCGGCGGCCGCGGCGGCGGCGCTGGCGGCCGTGGCGGAGACGGCAGGTCGAGAAGTCGGCCGCCGTCATGGGTGGGGAGGCGCGGTCGCTTGTGGTGGCCAGGCAGAAGGACTGTTGGGAGGGCGGGGGGGCGCCGCCGACCCCCAGAGGTCTGAACCCCTTCTCTGGGACCCGTTTTTCATCCTGAGTTTTAAGTCGGGCCTGTCCATCTACAGGGGGAATATTCAAGAATGGTTAAAAATAGTCGTTGGACGTTGTTTTGACCAGTTTTGACTATATTCGATGTTTGTTTGACTTTGCCTGTAGGGGGACATGCCCGACCTAACTAGAGTTGTTTCCGGGGCCTGGTATGGGCCCCCCGGACGCCGAACACAGCGACAAACTTCCCGTCGTGATTTGTATTGCGGGGTGATTTGGGTTCCCAGAGCTCTGATGAAATCCCAGTTCAGAGTGTCTGGCCCCCCCCAGGGCTCTCATTGATGGCAGGGTTCTGTCATGCCCTGTGCAGAGCGCGTCTGCCTCCCCCAGGGTGCCGGAGTTCGGAGCGTGGCTCCTCCACGAGGTCCCGATACCAGGTGCACAGCGCAGCTCCCTCCCAGGGTTCAGCCACGCGCAGCGGGAGGGGTAGGGGGAGGGGGGAAGGCTTCTTAGAAGCACCCCTGGTCTTTAGAAGGTGCGGCCTTGTCTACAGATGTGCGCCTTCTAAGAATCAGTCTCCTTCTAAGCCTTCCCCCATCCCCCTACCCCCTTGTGCGCGCCTCAAGTGGTTCCGATGGGGGCCCGGCTTAGAGCACGGCTCCCTCCCACCTGCAGGGCTCTGACGGAGTCCCCGTTCAGAGTGTGGCTCAGAGTTTCGCTCCCTCCCATTGGACGTCGCGTTGTGGGTGGGCGATAGGCGGGGGGGCAGCGAGGGCTGCAGAACAGGGCCTTTTTAGGGCCCTTGCAGGGGCCCTTTGGGGACCAACAGGGGGCCTTGAGGGCCCAAGAAATGCGTCTTTCTCCCGCCCATTTATCGCCTCCCCAGTGAGCGACGCCGAACTCCCAGGGTTCTGATGGACTCCAAGTTCAGAGCGTGGCTCCCTTCTAGGATTGTGATGGATACCTGGTTCAGAGCGTGGCTCCTTCCCAGGGTTTCCTGAGATCCTGGCGTTGCAATTTTGTCACACCGGGCGTTTTCGCTCGTTGTCGGGCCCTCAGACCCTCACAGACCGATCCAGCTCGCAAAATGATTTAGTAAGATGGGGTCCAGGGCTCCAGGCGTGATTTTTCTCGATGCTGCATTTTTCTGCAACGTCGGACCCCCGGGTTCTCATGGAGTCCCAGTTCAGAGTGTGGCTCCCTCGTTATGATGGAGACCTGGTTCAGGGTGTGGCTTTCGACCCTGATGGCTCCCTTGGAATATCCCATTGGGCGTGCTATTCGGTATGGGCTTCATGGGGGCCATCAGCTTCGTTCGCTACTCAGCACTCCGAGATCTAGTGTCTCGGCGGGGCACAGCGTCTTTGGGAGCGCGACGCTCGAGCAAGACAGTGCCCTCGGCACTTTTTGTTGTTCCTTCAACACTGCTGCTCCATGGGCCAGGTTCCTGGTGCTGCTATACGTCCATCACCGCCCACCACACCACCACAACCCAGCCCGAAGGTCCCGATTTGCCCTCCATTTCCAGTGTGGGGGGGTCGGGGAACATTGAAAAAACACATGTGAAGCCCGTACCCCCCCCAACCCGAAATATGGGCGAAATTCTGGTCTTCGGGTTGGATTGGGGTGGTTTGATAGGTAGTCAGTCCAGGGGATGCCCGCGACGGTGCAGATGAGCCTCGGCGGCCACGCTCGCGCTCCAGCCCGTGGTGCCCCCGGCGGCAGCAACCAGGCCGATTTGGAGGCCCTCTTGGGCCCTCTTCGGGGCATCCTGGGAAGTCCAGGGGCTATGTCGGGCCGTCTTGGAGCCCTCCAGATGGCCATCCTGAGGCTCTCCGGAGCCGTCTTGCGGCCATTGTTGGCCCACCCTTGTGGCCCCCTGGGGCGTTTTGCACTTGCCTTGGAGCCTCCCGGGGCCACATGAGTCCGCCGGCCTTTGCGGCCCGACCCCCCCCCTCCCGAGATCCGACGTTGCGAGAAGATTGCAACATCGCGCGAACCCAAGACCGGAGCCCCAGACCCCAACTGTCTGCGGCACTTGTCGAGGCAAGTCGACATGTGATGGTCCTGGGGCCCGAGGCCTGGCTAAAAAACGGCCGGATTGGCAAAATTTGTAGCGCCCGGACCACAGGGTCTTCAAGCAGGCCGGGCGGGGCTCACCGGGGAGCGGGTTTTTGGCGTTCAATTTTGGATCCATTTTTTGACGCAGCTTCCCTGCTTTCGCGTCGAAGGATTGGAACAAAACGGAACGCCCGGATCACAGGATCTTCAAACAGGCCGGGCCAGGATCAACGGGAAACGGGTTTTTGGCGTTCAATGTTGGACCCATTGTTGCACGCAACCCTCCTGCTTTCGCGTCGAAGACCGCTGGAAACCGCCAAAGACCGCCAGAAACCCCCAAAGACCTTCAGAAGACCGCCGAAGACCGCCGTAGACGGCCCAGGAGCGATGGGCAACAAGGGGTCCACGGTCGAACACGTAAGGGTTTAGGGGAAAGCATCCTTAAAGCTCGCCGAGGGGCAGCGAACGCGAGTTGTGTGTCCTGGGGCGACGGGGAAGGAGGGCAAGAGCAGACCTGAGCAGCCCAATCGTCGGTACGAGCAAGCCTAAGATCCGAGCGTCTTGCGAATGGAGGTCGTGAGGGTTGCTTTTGGCAGATCAAGCGCGCCGGCTGAGCGTACTAGCGGCTGGCCCTTGAAACAACGCTACCCCCCCAGAGACCTCCAAGACATCTCACGCGCCGAGGGCCCCCAAGGGGCCAGCGATTCACACGCTGCGCGTGCTTCAGCTACGACGAACTGCGGCCCGAGGGCTGCGTGCTCGAGGATAAGGGCGCCGCCGCGCAGGCGGAGATGCCAGAGGAGGCCAAGTTCTGCATCGTGTCGGACTATTCCTCGGGGACCCGTGGATCGGCGGCGAGCGAGGGGGGGAAGTGAGAAGGAGAAGGCCCTCTCAGAAGGCGGCGGAGCTTCTCAGAAGCCTTCGCGCCTTCTGAGAAGTGCTCTGTGTCTTCGGGGAAGGCTTCAAAAATTGCTCAGAGGGCTAGGCAACTTCCGAGCCTTCTGAGAAGGCGCCCCTTCTCACTTCCACCCCCCAGGCGCGCCATCTAGACGAGCTCTGGCGGGAGTGGGGCCAGACCTTTAGTGTCTCTGCGCCGTCGTCGGGGCCGCCGTCCCGCGACATGGGCAGCGCTTAGGTGAACGAGTACCTGCCGGCCTCCCCGGCCGCGGGTCACCGGGCGGGGCCAGCGCCGGGATACCCAGACCCCCTCGCGTTGTGGAAAAATTGCGACGGGAGGTTTTATGCTATTTTCGGCCTCCGGGGGTCCTAGGGATTGAGAACTGGGAGGCATGGAAACATTTCTAAGGACCTCAGTCGGGCGATGGGAAGGGGCAATGTTGAAGAGATCGATGGTGACGATACTGTGCCAGGGGCTGCGTTGTGCTTCGCTGCGCTGTGCCGTGCTGCAAAGTGACGTGGACGCGCCAAGGGACATGCAACGGAACGCGCCGCGGGACATGCCAGGGGGACGTGCCGCGGAACGTCCCAAGGGACGCGCCCGGGGACGTGCGACGTGCCATGGAGACGCGCCGCGGGATGAGCGAAGGAGACGCGGTATGGAACGTGCCAGTGGACATGCCAGTGGACGTGCCAGGGGACGCGCCGCGCGACGTGCCAGGGGGCCGCGCCACGGATTTCGCCACATAATGTGCCAGGGAACGTGCCAGACGACGCGCTAGGGGACGTGCCAGGGTACGCGTCAGGGAGCGTGCCACGGGACGTGGTACGGCACAGCCATGAGAGGCCCAGCAGCCACCGCGGAAACACGCAGGGCCAGATTTTTGGAGCCGAAAGAAGAAGCCCGTCAGAGCAAGGACTGCTTGTGACATGAGGGAGACAAAGACGCATTGTGCTGGAAGCTTGGGCCTTCAGCGCAGCGTGCCTGCCAGCGGCTTCGGGAACTGCCTTGATCGATCGGGATTTGGATATGGATTTCCCTATCGTGTGGGCGACGCAGAAGACGGATTCGTTTGCGAGGACATTCGCGCGTAAGTTACCCGCGTAAGGTCGCGCGTAGCGGCCCTGTTTCCACTGTGTCGTGCCGCGCTGGCGGCCTGCGTAAGCCACCGCGTGCCTTCGCTGTGCCATCGCGCATGAGACCACCTGCTTCGTCGCTCATCCGAGGAGCTACGGCCACGCCGCTGCTGCCCTCAGCAGATGAAACCCCATGCGCTCGCGCACGCAGAGCGGGATCCAGCGCTCGTCGTCGGCTCTGGTTTTCGACGGCTTGTTCCCGACAGTCCTCTGGTGTTGGGTCCTCGTTTTGAAGAGACGGTCCCCGCGTTCCTTCCTTCCTTCTTTCCTTCTGTCCTCCTCCCCATCCTCCCTCCTCTCATCCCTGCCTCTGCCTTGCGCATGTCCTCGTGTTTGTCGTCATCATCATCATCAGCAAGCCCTGGCCCGAGGTACCGGGGACGTGAGGTCCTCTTCGCTCTCGCCAGCAATATTCTACCTTATTTCTGCACTGCGATGCGTGGCCTTTCGGATGAAAATAGTGCGATGGAACCCCATATCCCCTTTCAGACTACGTCAGGAGATTAGAAGTCGCCCAGCTGGTTAAGTTTGCGGAGTTAGTGCTTCTCTCTGGCACAATTGCCAAGAAGAATGGCTATCATGAGCAGTTCATGATGTTGAAATCCGGCTGGAGCAGTGCAAGAGGAAGTCTGTCCAACAACAGTTGGAGATATGGCTGAATCGACGACGGCTCCGCAGATCACATCTTCAGTATTTTTGGCCAGTACAGAGTTCATTGCATGGGCGTCTCGAGGCAGTCGGAGTAAAATCGTCGCAGTTCGATTTCACACTGATCGTGAGCTACTCCCCCCACGGTGTACGGAGGCCAGAGGCATACCCCGCTACGAGACGATGGTACGACGGCTCATGGAAGCGTTGGCAGGCATCACGGACGGC